TATACATTTCACTTTTAACTATGACCTCAGTAATAAACATATACTGAATTTATACATTTATAAAAATTTCACCAAAAACTGAAACATTTTGAGCTTCATAATGTTAAGTGCAAAAAATGTTAAGGCTTGTATATTGCTTGTTTTATTTGGTGCACATCAGGGGCCATTGAGCTGGAGTCAAATTCTTTGTATTTTAACATATTTGACAATAACATTTATTAAGTACTGACTGATTGATTGATTGATTGGAAGTGTTGCACTGAATTACATACACTTGTACAGGTGTACCTAATAAAGTGGCCAGTGTATGACCATACAATGATTTAGTGCAGCGATTTTAATTGAATGACTTTTTAAATGTTTTTATCAACCATGTTAATAAATCTAGGTTCATTTCAGTAAGTGATCAGGTTACTTATGGGTGGTAATTTTAAAAGTGCATTTTATCTAGCTGTAATTACCTTAATATCATGACCTTCCATTCTTTCATACCTTCGGTAAGAGGCTGATGTAGATCTATAGTGTTTGGGCTGAAACACCGTGCTTATGATTCAGAGAACTGTAGAGGCTGTTTTCTCATACCTTGGGGTATGTACTCAAATCATTCCTGTGATTGCAACAGATCTGGGCTTGCTGTGAAATTACCTTTGATGTCATGGCTTCAGTGATGCTACATGGACGGAATAGAACCCAAAGTAATTAAATTATGCTAAATCTGAATTGACATAGTATGTTAATTGAAAGGGTAATATTTAAAAAATGAATGCTCTGATATGTTGCTGGTTTTAGGAAAACATAGCTGAATACATCAAGTTCAGTTTACAAAGGTTTATCAAAATGTGGACGTCAACCAGTAAACTAGGGAGTGATATTTTTAGTGTTATCTAACAGCGATGACAGTTTTTTAATACATAGTGTGGTTTGACTGAATCGATTTAATCAGGGTCTTTTTTGCTTTGTAAGTGATATATATGTATATGTATTTTTGTATATATATATATGTATGTATATGTGTGTGTGTATTTATGTATGTACAGTATGTGGTGTTACCTCCAGCTCAAAAAAAAGAAAGAAAACAAAAGAAAGAAAAACACAAAGAATCACACATTTTGACAATCCTTGCCTCTTGTGTCATGTCCTAAGAACCTTCTTTAATCCATCTCCTTTCTTATTAGTATGAGTAAATTTGTTGGTTGCCTCCACAATATGGCATGCCTCATTAGCTTTAAAGATACTTTCTTGACCCCAGTAAACCATTTTCATTTGAAGGCAGGATGGGGAAAATGAAGGGAGGATAAGGCGTGCTGGATCACAGGTCACACAGCATAGTGCTAGTGTGTGCAATTCTGGTAGCTGCACCAAATTGGCTTTGAATGTGTGGCATTAAGCCAATGATACAATGTGCCTAACACAGTATGGTCCTTGTCCATTCTTTTATGCTGGAAGGATTTTAGAGACCCTTTGTGTCTCCTTGCTGCCTCCAGAGCACTCGTCTTTTGTCCTCTTTACACATCAAAGAACTGTTTTACTTATTTTAATTCTGGTGGCAGAGATACACATTTTCCTTTTGATTGTAAGGTGGCACGTGGAAATCTTGGTCATCTAGGAACTGAAGCGTGTCTGTTTGGATGCAAAACTGGAAGTTGTGATACAGTAAGTGTCAGTTAGATGCAGTGCCTATATTATACTACAGTATAGGAAGTAATAAGAGAGATGGTAAGGCCAATGTTTTTTATGGTAGACCTGCTGCCAGTTGTCCCACTACTGTACTCTAATAAAAAGTGCCCTATGGGCCAGAAGGCATTTGTTCCATATTGGTGGCCACCATAAAAGAGAATGAATAAATATTTTCTTTTATATTTTGAAATGATCAACCCATAAGATTAAATGTTTCCTAGAGCATTCATATTAGCCTCCTAGTTCTGAGTCTGAGAAATTGGGAATTTCTGACAGCTATGTAAATCATAATTTGATTAAATAATGTGAGCCCTGTGTAAGTTACCACCCAGTAACTGACCTGAAGTGAATAGATGCACTGAGAAGGGTCTGTCTGTGATTGCTTTAGCATGTAATCTACTGCCACATCATCTAGTCTGAATGACAGGGAACATCTTGCAAAAGTAAAATAGTTTTTTTTCTGTGGCTGTTTTGAAATACCGGGTCTGCAGACATGTCTGTGAGCATTGTTGAGCAGACATGGCCTCTGATTGCAGGAGACAAGGAGCAGATTCATAAGGCATAATGTCTGATTGCAGGA